ACAGATTGACTGTGAAAAAGTCCTCTTCTAGTTTTTTCACCACCTTAACAATGTATTGAAAAAGTCCTCTTTTAAGAAATATGAATGAGAAAGAAAAATTAAAGCTACCATATTTAAATATAAGCTGGAAGAAAGGAAAAAACCGATAAGAGGTGTTGTTGCACAATCATCACACATTCGAAGTAAACAGGGCTTTTTTCCCTACAACAAGTGCGGATCCTTTCAAAAACATGCTTGCAAAGATTTTTAAACACTAAAAACTAAAAACATATTAGTCATAGTTACTTATTGTTTCAAAAATCGAACCATCATTTTCGTTTCGTTTTTTTGATGATAAATGTTCGACGTATTCGCTATCGAGTATATTCGAATGTCTTTTTTTTTCGTTTTTGTTGTGATTGAATTTTTTAACGTGTTGGTTGAATCAGTTAAGGGAGCATTCGAATCATCGGTTGTGACAAAAGTGATCGATGGGGGTGGTTGGTGTGGGGATAATAAGGGTGTTTGATCGGAATTGTGACCATCTCGATTACACTATTTGAACGTTCTGGAACTTTTGAACCAAGAAATCCTAACGATTGTCTAGCTTTTGCATCAGTATTTGTAATGACCTCTTTGATTTTACAAGGATCGACAACAACTGGTGGCGGAAAACGATCTTTGAGATATTCTAAAGTTAGAAGACATAGCAATAAATCAAGCGAAGAAATTCGATTAGCAATGGAGCCTAGTTAGGCATGAATTAGAAATCTTCTTAACAGCTCTTTATCAAATTTCCATTTTGATCACAAAATAATTAAAGCGTCTAGCTGGTTTTTTGTTACTGGGCCTATATTCTACAATAAAGTGCAATCCAGACAATAAGGCATACGCCATCGAAACCGTTGAAAGATGAAAACACGAATACTCGGGTAAACCGCAGCAACAAAGTTCAATCTTGTCTGACCAGAAATGATGCCAGACAGTTAGATAAAATAGAAATGAGAACAAAGATCTCTTTGGATCAGAGATTTTCAAAGAGAAACTGTACTCGAAAAGACTTAATCTACGATTTTTGAATATTTTTATCGTCTTTTAAATAAGTCTTAAGGTTACTCATTATTGAACCGAATAATTCGTGATTTAAATCAGATGCTTTCAATGTTGTTAATTTTTCTTGATCAGGAAACAAACATTTAGCAATTTCATGTGCAGTGAATGTTGGCGTTTGCTTTAAGCATGAACGTAAAGCTTCTGGTGCTAATGGAATTTTCTAAAGTAAAAACAGAGAGAAAAAATTTAGTTTTTGTTTATTATAAGAAGAAAGTCTGACATACGCAATTTTTAACCTCAACTGATTGAGGCTGAATAATGGCCAATGTTTGATGAATTCATGACCTTGGTGGTAAGCTGAAACGACAAAAAGTACAATATTTTATGAAACACATTGAAGATGCCAACTCACGAACAAAAAATTTTTTGTTGTCTAATTCTTTCACAATTTTTCTGTTATTCTCAATAACTGTTTTATATCCTTTTTTTAAAGCAAAACATTTTTTTTTATAATCTTTCTCCTTTGAGTTGTTCATTACAATAGGAAAAATCTGAAATATAAGGAACGTAAATACTTCGACATTGTATGAATACTTGATTTGTGTTCAAACGGCACCAGATTTTGAAAGAAGCAAAAAGATTCGTGTTGGATTCGAACCGGTGACGCAAAAATCCACTTTCTCTGCATAAACCGCTGTGCTGCGGATCTGTACTGACTCTCTCTTATTGAGTCAAGTATAGTTGAAGACAAAAAGCATCAAAAAACATTGATCATATTTTTTTTTTCTATGGACTTGCCAACAAGGGACCAGGAATCTTGTTGTACGATCAGTTACATATGTGATAGTGTTCATCTCGAAAGGATCATCTCGTTTTCTTGAGGAAAAGAAATTTTTGAAAATTTATTAGTTAAAAATGGTCAAAAACAATATATAATTTTTGTTTATTATAAGAGCAAAGTTTGACATCATAATTTTGAATAATATGAATCAACGACCGATTACCTCGTCATCCGATATGTTCGTCGAACTATAATATCATTTTATTTATCCAAGATATTCGAGTTCAGTTCGAGATAATAAGTTTCATTGCGATGCATATTAGCACTAGCGCAATGCTTTATTTTTCCTCGATAAACACTAGAGTTATCGCGGAAAAGTTCTTTATCGGAACAGTATTTTATCTCGGTAGAGACCGATAAATTTATTTTGCCGTGATAGTTCTAATGTTTAGCGCAATATTTCCCTAACTAGGTAAAATTATCGCCTCTAATCGAGATATTTTATAGAAAAAAAACCTCATGGGGAGAGGCACTTTAAATACTCGCACACAGGAACATAAAAGCCCATCAGCGAAGTTATATTAGCGCCGATAAACTTTTATGTAGCGATTTCTATACAAAAGAATGAAAAAACTTTTGATATGAAAGAAAATGTTTCTTAAGGTAGTTCCGACACTGATTCCATCATGTTTTACCCGGTTTTCTCGTCAGGAACATAATGCAATCAAGGCGAATCATTCACCTTAGACTCGCTTCAAGGAAATATATTATTTGTAAACATTCTCTCTAATTCATTTTCCCTTGTTATAGTACTACATTAACGTTCATCTGAACTTTTAAGAAAGTCCTGGCAGATATTTCTAAAACAGCTTCAATCTTTGATTTCTGTAAGTTCGTCTGTATACTTCTCAATTGGAGTTCTACATGTAATTGGTATTTGATCTCAAAATAAAAGTGAGAGTAGTTAATATTTTATGGTTCGCGTGTGAATATTACCGATAAGGTGACGTTTGTCATATGTGAAGAAAACATTCACGCTTGGACTTTCAGAGAATGTAAGATGCACGCAAAGCAAAATTTGAGCAGATTTTATTTTTCGTGTTTTTACATATATTGTGATTCACTGCGTCGAGCTGATCACGAATATCACCTTCCGAGCCTCCCAAAACCATTTCTTCATGGAGAAAAACTCAAATTGTTGATAAGACCTCAAAAATACAAAAAACCGTCCTCTACGATGAAATTCACTTTTTGAGGTTATATTGCAAGATGGAAGGTTCGAACTATATTTTTCTGAATCAGCATTGAAAACTGATTTAGGAAAACGTTTTCAGTTCGTTTCAGAGGTAAACACTCTTCCGCCATGAACGTCCGAACCAACAGCTGTCAACTGGGCATGACTTATTTTGAAAACCTATCTGGTTTTTTGAGTGAAGGGCTATACCCATAATTCACACGTCATCAGATCGGCCAACACACCAGCTTTAAAAATATGCAGGCTTTTTTTACAATTTTATTTCGTTTCTAAGAAAATTCATTATTCCTAAATCGGAGGCGAAAAACTCGGAATTCTGCCCGTAATTCTCAATTTTCTCAATCAGAACAGTTTCAGTTGCATTAAAGTTGAGTTCAGGCCATCCCAATATTTCTAACTTAGAAATATTGGCCTGACATTCAGGAGCTCTATGAAATTCACAAGTTAACATTGTTTCGGAAAATAATTAGACACGAAGCACCTGCGTATCTCACATTCAGTATTCACAAATGAAAACAAATGAAAAACAGAATTTCAGTTTTTGAAGAAGCCGTTTTTTTCAAGCGTATAATAATCATTTTCTATGCAAAATTCAGTTGATGAGTCGCTGCTGTCTGTGTATCATTTCGCACCAGTGCGCACCCGTACCATACGAGTACCAGTCGGCACTAGTGTACACCACTACCAGAGAAATGTTCAAGTTTCGCACCGGTGCCAAAAACCATATATCATTCCGCATCGGTGCGCACCAGTGCCGATAAAAAGATTTTTTGTAGAGTAGATTATGCTGAGTTATGAACACACTTGAAAAAGATTCCTTCACATGGCGCTTTGTTTAGAAGCATAGACAGTTTTCTAGTTTTCTCAGCCCAAACAGGAAAAGATTAAAAAGTTCATTAACTAAGTCAGAACACACTACGAAAGCCTGAAAAATCTTTTTCTGCCACTTATCTTTGTCTCCTGCCGCCGCGGAAATGGCAAGCTTTGGCATCATTTCGTTTTTTGAGTTTCAAAGAATTTTCATACTGAGGGGTTTTCAGACTTCTTCTGGAGAATCAAGCTTCCTTTGACATTAAAATGTTGCCGCGTTTGTATTATTGTTCGAATGAAGATGAATTTGTTTAAGCTTTTGACCACGATTCTTTCACCACAATTCCTAGGGATGGCGGCGGTTTTCAAAGATCCTCGAGAAAACCGGAGTTTCCAGTTTTCGCCAAATGGCTTTTTGTTTGTGAAAAGTAATTTCTTGTAACAGGTATCATTAAGAAGCTGTGACAGAAACATTGGTACTAGTTTTTAATTTTTTCGAATTTATTTTGTGGAAAACTAGTGTCCGATGTTTCTGTTACAGCTTCTTCACGATACCTGTTGCAAGGCTGAAAAACGTCTTAAAATGTTAACCAGACTTTTCTCTCCGACTTAAGATGTTCCGCGATACTCTGCGGCAGTCAGTTTAGAAATTGTAGGCAAAACAAAATGATGAAAGCCCGTTACAGTAGCAGAGTTAGCTGGCCAAGCAGAACAAGAAAATACCAGAAGTGCACCTTCGTCATTATGTGAAAGGTGAGCATGTATTCTTCCTGACAAAATTTCACCGGCGTTCTTCCTTCTCATATTCTTTCATAATTATGATGTACAGCAGAGCCCTGCAGGTTGCCAATATTTGGCAACCTATAACCTAACCTATAAAAAATTTCACAACCTAATCCTAACCTAACCTATGGATTCGACAACCTAATCCTAACCTAACCATTGAAAAAAAAAATAGAACAACCTATAACCTAATCTAGCCTATAACTTTTGCAACCTAATCCAAACCTAATCTATAGCTTTTGCAACCTAATCCTAACCTAACCTATAGGTTAGGTTAGGTTAGGTTAGGTTAGGATCAACCTGCAGGGCTCTGATGTACAGTGAATACAGATTCTACAGTAGATAGGGCGACTCTTAGTTCTTCATCCTCGCTGGTCTGAGTATACTTCAATAGTGGATGGTCTTTTTCAATAAATTTTCGAAAATCACAACTTCATACTTGACTCATAGTCTACAGTCGTCGAAGGGTATTTGCTGCGAGTTTGAAGTCGAAATAATGTTCCTAGACACTATGAATTTTTTTCAAAGAGATCCTCATATTTCACGGTCTCATTTTCAAGGGTCTCGATCGTAAAATAGCTGTCTTTCAGTAACCATTAACACTTACCTTGTTAAATTCATAGCATAGACAGAGGCGAATTAGGGCTACATTTTTGCAAGAAGAAAAAGTTTTCATTTCGTTTGAATCAAGAGTTACCAGTGTTCTACGTGGAAAAATGAAACGATTATAGCTCACGAACCATCATGCAAAAGAAGCTCATACTGGTGGAGTGATGAGCATTCGATGGGAGCTATGATCACACAAAATTAGAAGTCTATAGCTATTATGGTTCTTGAGTTACAGAGGCGTTGATACTTTTGCGGAGTACTGTAATTGGAATAACTAATAATGCATCACGTAAGAACATCACATAGTCCTATATTGGCGTAAAGGTGAGAAATCTAACTCCCAAGCACCACTGAATAAATTAAAATGATTTTCTATTTTCAGATATCACATCTTACATTACTATCAGTGCTTCTTTGTACGTTGTTCAGCTTTTTCATTAGAAAATTTGGTACTTGCTCCGCGCTGAAGCAAATTGGATAAAAATTGGGCACCAAATGCAAAATTTGTCGGTGAATCCGACAGCGGGTTCCTTATAATTACATCTTCACTTCTTTTTTGGGGTAAAAATCTTGATCGAAATTAATCAACGTGGTTTTTGGCTAAATTTTATTTTTTTCATTGGTTGTAAAAAAGGCCCCAATGAAAAAAATAAAATTTAGGCAAAAACCACGTTGATTATATTGACGCCAAAAAAGAAGTAGAATGGATATTTTCTTTCTCTAAGAAAGCGATACTAATGAGATTGAGAAGAGAAAGAAAACAGAGACAGTATTTAAAGTGGTATCAGCGCATTATTTTCTTCGTCAAAAGTTAACATGGCGATTGGAATTACTGTTGAGAATTGCGAAAGGCAAGAGAACGTAAAGATCGTAGCTGCGTACTTTGTTGTTGTTTGGTACGTTTGTATTCACAAAACTTAAATAAAATATGTGCTCTGTTGATACATATTCCAGATAGAGAAGAGTTTAAAGACGCATTTTCGCATCCAAAATATGCAACAATTGGTTTAAATCGTCAAGAATTTATAACCTGTTATCAGCAGTTGACGAATCAAATGCTGACGATTGCTATGGCTGATGCAATGTTTGATAAATTTGATATGAAAAATAAAGGTAAGCAGTTCAAAATGTCATAAACCTGCTCTACTCTCAACTGTGTTCATATCCTCTTTCACTTCTCCTATACAACGTCTGTGAACAGTCTCTCTGTTATTGACAGAGATAGGAAGACTACTTTTGTGCACTTGAGTTATAAAGACGTCTAACATTGTAACGCCACATTTGTTTATATGCATCCATAAAACTTATTCGATGAAATGCTTTGAGCTCTACGTAATGGCATATATCTTTGCTCACCCAATAATAGTGAAACAACGGAAAATAACTGTCAAGTACAAGTCCTTTAAATACAAGTAATCTCACTATTTTACTATTATTGGGCGAGCAAAGATATATGCCATTACGTCAAGGGAGCAAAAGCAACACTTCACTACACTACACTTTTTCCACTACGGTAGTGGTGTCGTAGTGACTTTGTAGTGGTAACGTATTGGATGTGTAGTAGATGAGTAGTGGGCTCCAGTGGTTGTGTAGTGGGCTGCAGTGGTTATATAGTAGGCTGTAGCTAGCTGTAGTGGTTGTGTGGTGGGCTGTAGTGGATGTGCGGCGGGCTGCAGTGGATGTGTAGTGCACTTTAGTGGTTGTGCGGTGGGCTGCAGTGGATGTGTAGTGCAGAGTAAAAAAAATACGTGTTGGATGTCTTGCAGTAAAAATGAATGATGGCTATAATACTTCACACTTTTTTAAAAGAAACGATTGAAGATAGAAAGTGATTGAAATAAAAACAGTGACAGTGACGAGATTCGAACTCGTGACTCCGAAGAGACCAGTGCCTTAAACGGGCGCCTTAGACCGCTCGGCCACACTGCCTGTCATCTTTTAAGACAGAAAAGATTTAAAAATCAGCTGTAACAACGTAACAACGTAACAACGTGAACGTATATATCTAAGAAAACCAAGGGGGGAAAAACAACACTTCACTATACTACACTACACTACACTTTGCACACTTTGGTTACATAGTGGGCTGTAGTTAGTTAGCTGTAGTGGTTGTGTAGTGCACTGTAGTGGATGTGCGGTGGGCGGGAGTGGATGTGTAGTGCGCTGTAGTGGTTGTGTGGTGGGATGTAGTGGACAATCCCTTGTAGTGTAGTGTTGTTTTTGCCCCCTTGCATTACGTAGAGCTCAAACCATTTCATCGAATGAGTTTTATTGATGCATATAAACAAATGTGGCGTTACAATGTTAAACGTCTTTATAACTCAAGTACACAAAAGTATTGTTCCTATCTCTAATGATTGACATTCTGATTGAGATCGCCATAGGTTCTATGTTAAAGGTGCAGAATATTGCAAAGAGTCTCGGCGCGAGTCCAGAATCTTCTTAAAAAGCAAACGTGAAATGAAAGACGTTGTTTTTTGTTTTACTTGGCGAGGTAGTGATAGTTTTTATTACTGATTCGTCCCTCAAATTGTCTCAATTAACTAAAATTTGATCCTTGAGTCAAAAATGGGACTCAATTGACTCGTGTGGTTTCGTTTCGTCTTTCAAAGAAAAGAGATTACTTTTCTACGACCTCGTGTAAACAACATTACACGGCTATGGAACATCTCATTTTAAAGAGAGGACCTTACTTTATATGCCAGTGGCCTCATTCAGTAGGTCGTAAGAGGTTTATGTGAGCGTTCCTCAAGAGTCATGCGTTTCCAAGAGTTTTTATATCACCAAAAAGCAAAGTTGAGCAAGGCAGAGGCTTTTCAAGTCAAGTCAGCGATACGAGGGTTTTTTCAAATCAAGTCAATGGGAATTTAGTACTAAGGATGTTGCACCTCTGATTCTATGCACAAATAGCCCACTATTCAACACTATTGTTTTATCTTTCAGGACATATCGGTTTTTTGAATTCTCTCGATATTTTTGTTATTATCTGCAAAGATGCATGTGTCACGAAACGAACTGAATATTTATCAAGACGTGATTGTCAAATAGCAACATCAGCTTTCAAAGATTCGATCCAACGCTTATTTTACAAAATCGGAAAACTTTATGATTATGACCTGAAAACGTTAGATATAGAATTTAGCAAATGTGGCAAGAGCTATCTGGCGGAGAAAAGTCCTGTAACAACTTGATAGGAAGCTGTTGAACTTTCACTTGCTGACCTATACTGTCAAGATATGAGCTAAACCACAAAAAGAGTTCATCATTAAACCTGGCACTTGGCAGCTCCCTGAGAAGAACTTGACGTGGAACTCGAGTAGCTGGCTTTCCGATTTATCCTCTGTTTTTTGTTTAGCCTCTTTTTTATCGTCTTTTCAAGCCGGTTTTCCTCTGTTTAAGTCCCTCTTCTGTTTAAGAATATTAAGGAAAAACATGGAAATCTGAAAAAAATAAATAAAAGTTACCTTGAAAAGACACATAGGAAAAGTAGAAGAACAAATTTCTGTGCTTCGCGCGTATAACCAGTTAGTTTAGCATGAACAATACTTATCGCGTCATGCGTGCTTCGATCTAATAAAAGACTTGCTGCTCATCACTGAGAAGAAAAATACCTGGCAGTAGATCAAAACGGTTATGGGACGGGTTTTCTGTTTTTCTAGAGAGGCACTTGTATTTATTGTTTTTCTTCTGTTCGACATTTCACGTTATTCAGGAGTGTGAATAATATTAGCAAATTTGAATATTATCTTAATAAGAACGGTGCAAAGTAACCGAAATTGTTAAAGGAACTGCATGAAAACTGATAAAAAAAAGATAGACTACCTTCGTCCCTGGATAGTTTTCTTTTTAGATACTGCCAATAGATAGTGATAACTTTTTTGGAGATTCTCTGTATTATAAACCGAGATTATTTCACTGTTAATGCAGTAGCTCTTCTTCCTTTCCTCAGTTTATCGAGTTATTTTTTTCTCTATATTGCGCAACTAGTAAATTTTCTTTTCACCCTGCGCTGTTGTTCTAATCTGTCTTATGTATATATATAAATTTATATATATAAGAGTAATATGTATATATACAAGCCATTGAACAACATATGAAGAATGATAAGCATTTACGTTTAGTGAATGAATTAAAAAATAATTCAACATTAGTTGTACAACAGACATCCCTCTCTTCGTCAAATAGCTTACTGACAGTGAAAGTAAGGAGTATAAATAAACCATTGAGTTTAGATAATAAAATCATCAAAACAGAAACGTTATGGTCGATGAACATACTGGTTATACTGGTCATACTTATAAGTCTTTCAATAAAATTGGTGATTTATTTCGTATTATGTTTCCAGATTCAAAAATAGCGAAAAAATCCAAGATGCAAGCAGATAAAATATTGTACGTTGTCTCGTATGGTCTCGGTCCGTGGTTTAAAAAGAAATTAATTGAAGACGTTAAAAATGCTGATAAATTCTTTTCACTTTTTGATGAACAAACAAATAATCAAAATAAAAAGTAATTGGACATGTTATTGAGCTCTTGGTGTAATGAAAAACGAAGTGTCATTGTTCTATTTTATGAATCTGTGTTACTGGGACATGCGCACGCAAGCGCAATTCATGATGCTATAATTGATGCATTTGCAATAGATGGAATAAAATTAAAACATCTACTTATGCTTGGACGTGATAATCCCAATGTCAATATTTCATTAGAAAATCTTATAGAAGAAGAAATGAAAAAAGTCGAATCACATTTATTAAAAATTGGTCGTTGTAACCTTCATGTAGTTCATAGCGGATTTAAAGCAGGGTGGATGTATTTTCTTTAGCAACGTCTTTTTCCTAATGCAACAGTTGTTCGCCGTATGAATTCTACTAATAACTGAGCACAAATTTCACTGAAGAAGACGCCGTCTAATGCCTTTTATTTTGTATTCTGGTTACAATAGTATTAAAGTGGCATAATGAAAATTGTAAAAAAAAGTATGGATATATTCATGCTTTAAAAGTTCTTCTGCTAGAAGAGAAAATTTCTTCTTGCAGCTGATGATACTAACAGAGCTGCTGAAAAGGCCATATTATATTTTGCAGCAACGAGATGGGTATTAATGGGGAAAGTTCTGCATCGCATACTACGTATACATTACTGTAATATTGTTATACTGTCTGATCATTGTCATCGTTTGTTTATTTCTTTTATATCGGATATCTCACTCGTCTTCAAATGGGCTTAATCGACATACGGAGTATCGCAGATGGTGAATATAAATGGATTCTCCATACGACGGATCATTTCACTAAATTTTCTTGGGCTTATCCCTTACAGTCAAATAGTGAAATATAAAAGTAATAAAGTTGATATTACGTGACGTTCATTTAAGTGTACATTTTTATTTCATTCTGATCTTCTATCGATTCTACTAGACGTAAAAGATATTTTATTTTTTCCTATAGGAAAAATTAAAATTCAATTTCTCCTAGGAGAAACTAAAATTTTAATTTTTCCTAGAAAATATCCAGCTAAAATTGAAAGGACGGGGGTCGATAAGAGGCAAAATCGGCCATCTCTCAGATCAAGCTCATACTCACCAGTCTGATGTAGTTTTTCTCGCTGATTAAAACTAGCATCTCAAGAAACCCATTTTCAGCCCCCCTGGAAAAAATTCCGCATCCAAACTTTTCTCTCCTTTAATGAACTTTATTTAGAATATTTTCCCAGTTTCTCCTCTTTGCCCAAAGAAAACCTAAACTACTGTACATCATTCAATAGAGAATTTCGTTGGCTACAAAATGATATATATAATATTGAGAGCAAATGGGGCGTGTGTGTCCTAACGCAAGAAATACTAGGCCCCACCTCCACAAATCCATAGGTCAGCAGCGTTTATCGCTTATATTGTCCAACCAGTTTATCATTAACCACGCCACTTTATATATCATTCGATAGAGAATCTCACGGGCTTCAAAATTGCGTATTAATAAGTCTTTGAAAAATATGTCCACATGCACGAATAGTTGAAATACGTGACCGATATAGTGATTTTCAACTATCTAAGCGCTTTAAACACTCCTTTGGTAAGTTTTCTGCCATAATGAAAAGTTATGTATTTTGCAAAAACATACCATTGGATAGCCCTTGAAAATCTGTACAAAGTGAGCAGATCAGAACATCCAGAAAGGTGGGTCCAGTCATTGAAGATATGGAAAAGAAGAGTTGGGGTATTATCTATGTAGTACTGTGTGTCATTATCACAAGAACTCCTTTCTTTTTGATATTTTGGCAACAGCTGAAACCAATCTAAATACTGTTTTGAATAGCCCAAACATTTTTCTATTAGATGTGGTGCATATTGTCGTTTAATGAGAAAAGTTGATAACAGGGTTTCTGGAAAACCAAGTCCTTGTTCTTTTGTCAGAAAATTTTTCAAGCCACATAGCCTGATAGAGCATACAATTCTGAGTAAAACAAGATATGTTCTGGCTGTTTATAATGATTTTTCACGCAAGTACAC